ACCATGCTAGGCAGTCCCTCACTGGCCCTACCATTCATTTTTTTCAAAAATAGTATGCGCACACTCGTTCATCACAAATCACTAGTGATGAAGAATCATGTGCGAACGGTTGGATGAAGTGCGCGCGCGTCGTCGCTCGCGCATGCCAGAATCCTTCAAACACTTCATGTCCCGCAAGGATCTCAACATCGATCACATAATTACCCTGGCGACGTACCCAACCCCTGGGCAATGCGGGGCATGAGTAGCTTGGGAGACGTTATACGGAGGTTATGACGTGACATGGGTGCATAAATTTCTGCGAACGGAATTCGTGAGGCTCGCAACCCCACAAGGATTGCGACGTCCCGTTCAGATCTGCCTGGTGCCTCGTTCCGTTGGACCCACCAGCAGCCCTCGAAAGTGTCGACGGTTTCGCAGATCGCAGCCCCCCAGGGACGGCAAGGTCCCGCTCAGATCCGCGCAATGCTTCACTCCGCAGGACCCACCAGCAGCCTTCGAAATTGGCGACAGTGTCGCAGATCGCACCCCCCAAGGGACGGCGAGGTCCCGCTCAGATCCGCGCGGTGCTTCACTCCGCAGGACCCACCAGCAGCCTTCGAAAGTGGCGACAGTTTCGCTGATCGCAGTCCCCCAGGGACGGCAAGGTCCCGCTCAGATCCGCGCGGTGCCTCACTCCGCAGGACCCACCAGCAACCCTCGAAATTGGCGACAGCCTCGCAGATCGCAGCCCCCCAGGGACGGCAAGGTTCCGCTCAGATCTGCGCGGTGCCTCACTCCGCAGGACCCACCAACAACCCTCGAAAGTGGCAGCCCCCCAGGGACGGCGAGGTCCCGCTCAGATCTGCGCGGTGCCTCACTCCGCAGGACCCACCAGCAGCCTTCGAAAATGGCGACGGTTTCGCAGATCGCAACCCCCCAGGGACGGCAAGGTCCCGCTCAGATCCGCGCGGTGCCTCACTCCGCAAGACCCACCAGCAACCCTCGAAATTGGCGACAGCCTCGCAGATCGCAGCCCCCCCAGGGACGGCGAGGTCCCGCTCAGATCTGCGCGGCGCATCACTCCGCAAGTCCCACCAGCAGCCTTCGAAATTGGCGACAGTTTCGCAGATCGCAGCCCCCAAGGGACGGCGAGGTCCCGCTCAGATCCGCGCGGTGCTTCACTCCGCAGGACCCACCAGCAGCCTTCGAAAGTGGCGACAGTTTCGCGGATCGCAGTCCCCCAGGGACGGCAAGGTCCCGCTCAGATCCGCGCGGTGCTTCACTCCGCAGGACCCACCAGCAGCCCTCGAAATTGGCGACAGCCTCGCAGATCGCAGCCCCCCCAGGGACGGCAAGGTCCCGCTCAGATCTGCGCGGTGCCTCACTCCGCAGGACCCACCAGCAGCCTTCGAAAGTGGCGACAGCCTCGCAGATCGCAGCCCCCCAGGGACGGCGAGATCCCGCTCAGGTCCGCGCGGTGCCTCACTCCGCAGGACCCACCAGCAGCCCTCGAAAGTGGCGGCAGCCTCGCAGATCGCACCCCCCCAGGGACGGCGAGGTCCCGCTCAGATCTGCGCGGTGCCTCACTCCGCAGGACCCACCAGCAGCCTTCAAAAATGGCGACGGTTTCGCAGATCGCAGCCCCCCAGGGACGGCAAGGTCTCGCTCAGATCCGCGCGGTGCCTCACTCCGCAGGACCCACCAGCAGCCCTCGAAATTGGCGACAGCGTCGCAGATCGCAGCCCCCCCAGGGACGGCGAGGTCCCGCTCAGATCTGCGCGGTGCCTCACTCCGCAGGACCCACCAACAACCCTCGAAAGTGGCGACAGTTTCGCAAATCGCAGCCCCCCAGTGACGGCGAGGTCCCGCCCAGATCCGCGCGGTGCCTCACTCTGCAGGACCCACTAGCAGCCTTCGAAAGTGGCGACAGTTTCGCGGATCGCAGTCCCCCAGGGACGGCAAGGTCCCGCTCAGATCCGCGCGGTGCCTCACTCCGCAGGACCCACCAGCAGCCCTCGAAAGTGGCGATAGTTTCGCAGATCGCAGCCCCCCAGGGACGGGGCCCTAGGTGAAGCCCTCTGTGGGGCCACGAAACGTGTGAGGGGTGCGCCGACATGGGCGTGGCGGACGCATGTGGGCACCCCCACTGGTGCCTTTGGTGGAGTTTCTGATGGGGCCTGGAAGCGCTGTACAGGGTGTGGCAGACGCATGCGGGCACCCCCACTGGGGCCTTCGGTGGAGCCCCCTATGGGTCCACGAAGCGCCGTACTGGGTGTGGCAGACGCATGCGGGCACCCCCACTGGGGCCTTCGGTGGAGCTCCCTATGGGTCCACGAAGCGCTGTACGGGGTGTGGCAGACGCATGCGGGCACCCCATTCGGGGCCTTCGGTGGAGCTCCCTATGGGTCCACGAAACGCAGTACTGTGTGTGGCGGGCGCATGCGGGCACCCCCGCCGGGACCTTCGGTGGAGCCCCCTCTGGGGCCACGAAACGTGCGGGGGGTGCGCCGACATGGGTGTGGCAGACGCATGTGGGCACCCCCACTGGTGCCGTTGGTGGCGCTCCCTATGGGTCCACGAAGCGCTGTACTCGGTGTGGCGGACGCATGCGGGCACCCAGATTTTGGCATTCGGTGGAGCTCCCTATATGCGGCCACGGAACGCTGTACTGGGTGTGGCGGACGCATGTGGGCACCCCCATTGCGGCCTTCGGTGGAGCCCCCATTGGGCCACGAAGCGCTGTACTGGGTTTGGGCCACGAAGCGCTGCATTCGGTGTGGCGTGCGCACGCGGGTACCCCGTTTTTGGCCCTCGGTGGATCTCCCGATGGGTCCACGAAACGCTGTACTGGGTGTGGCGGACGTATGCGGGCAGCCCAATTTGTGCCTTCGGTGGAACTCCCTATGCGGCCACGGAACGCTGTACTGGGTGTGGCGGACGCATGTTGGCACCCCCATTGCGGCCTTCGGTGGAGCCCCCCATTGGGCCACGAAACGCAGTACTGTGTGTGGCGGACGCATGCGGGCACTCCCATTGTGGCCTTCGGTGGAGCTCCCTATGGGGCCACGAAGCGCTGTCCTGTGTATGGCGGGCGCATATGGGCACCCCCATCGGGCCCTTCGGTTGAACTCCCTATGGGGTCACGAAGCGTGAGGTGTGCCGAAATGGTGGGCATGCGGTGATCAGAGGCAGGGATGGGAGGAGGGAGGAGGAGGAGGAGGAGGAGGAGGAGGAGGAGGAGGAGGAGGAGGAGGAGGAGGAGGAGTGAAAAGCAGGAGGACGAAAACCACAGGATGGTCGGGAAATACACATGGTTTCGCAACATCAGTCTTCAAAACAGGTCTGCGCGCGCGCCCTTGCGAATTCTGTGGAGAGTCACGGTTTCCAATGTTGTTGTTAATGCCACCCGATCGGCTTTTCGCGCCGCATGTCGAAGCCATTTGCAAACTATTGGGTGCGCGCTGGGATATCAATGAACGCGCGGGCCGTTCGCGCGAGTTGGCCGCGCGCGCATGTCGATGTTCTCCAACACTCTCATAATCGACGCGAGGACATCTCTATCGTCATCGGCGTGATCCGCGTCTGCGCCGTCACTGACCTTGCCGTCGTCATCGTCATCATCATCCATACTAACACCATCGTGTCTACCGCTGGCGATGTCGCCATGATATTGTTCCCGCCCACGCCACCGACTGGCAGTGAAGTGCCCGCTGGGAAGCCCCCGGCGGTCAGCGCCACCGTGGCCGCGTCCGTCGCACCAAACTAGGTGGCCGTTGTGCCCGCGAGCGTGGGCGGGCTAGCGCGGCCGCAAAGATGCACCGTCCAACACCAAGCATTCATCGCAATCGCCCTTGGTTTTGCAAACCAGGTTGTGAGTGTGTTGGTGGGATGATTGCACGAGCAGCAAAGTTCCACCACATGGATTATTCTAAAAAGGTTGCACAACATACATGGCACACCGTATACATTGCATGCGCCACATGATTTCACCACGTCGCTTGCGTAGCATCAATTGCGCCACATGTATTGCACCACGTGGACTGCAAGACTCCGATTGCGCCCCATCCGATTGCACATTTACGATCTCAAGAACGTGTATTGCACCGCTTAAGCTGCACCACGCATGTTGTTCCACAGATATTGCACAAAACAGATGGCACAGCGTAGATTGCACAACCTGTATTGCACAACATATATTGCACCAGGTAGGTTGCACCATCTCGCCCAACCTAGGATCCATACCATGTAGAGTTAAACACACGCACGCGGCTTGGGGTCGATACTGGGTAACACATACATCGATGTACACATTTCCCAGACAGCGCGTGCAGTGTTCTATTATGTGTTTCTTGGGGTTCTTATCCGGTTTCAGAAACGAGGGCCTTGGTGGCGGTGTGTCGGCTCCGTGACCTCCGTTGCCGTCCCGTCGCGGCCGGTCATTTGGGTCTGGGTGCCAGTTGCTCCATGGAGTATGTGTTTCATATTTGACTCTGGCAGACTCAGTTGCGTAGAGGGGAAAGGCCAGTGGGCGTGGCGAAGCCCGCAAGGAGTTTCTGGACTCCACGCAGGCGGGGAGTCGCTCGCACGTCTTCGCGGCCCAACGCTGCTTGACAGGGTGGCGGAGAGAGTGGTGGGGTGGGTGGGCGATTTGCCACCCAAGTAGATTTGCTTACAGTCAACGCGCCTAGTAAGGACTCGCGGCCTTCATCTAGGATACCCTTGCGTCCTTGCCTCTGTGGCCCGTCCTTTGCCGTTTTCACTGGTCGCCGCCGCCCCAAAAAATCCCAACTTCAGCCTCCAAGGGTCTTGCGTCCTTGCCACGCGTCCTTAATCTACGTTTTGATTGTAAGTCTACAGATAACACGCCCGGCCCGCGCGCAGGCGGGGAGTCGCTCGCACGTCTTTGCGGCCCAGCGCTGCTTGACAGGGTGGCGGAGGGAGAGTTGGGGCGGGTGGGCGATCTGCCACCCGAGTAGATTTTTGCTCGAGTCTGCAGATGAAGCGCCCGGCCCACGCGCAGGAGCCACTTCGGCTCAGGCGAGGCAGCCAGCGGGGATCCCCTGAAGGGGGCCCGCGGGGCGGCCCGGCGGCCATGGCGGACCCTTTGCCGCCGCCGGCGGAGCCGGCCGCTGGCCATGGCTCCGCGCCGACGACGCCCACGGAGTCCTCGCACGCTGGCGAGGACGAGGGCGGAGGGCCCAGCGCCACGGAGTCTGCCCTCATGGAGAAGAACCTGACGACGTTTGAGGGCGACACCCTCGCCGAGGCCGGGGGGTGATGACTAGGGGGGGGTGGATCTCATGGCGGGGGGCATGATATTTCCCCAGATCTCATGGTCCCTCTTCTTATTTCATACAGACCCGGCCCCCCCGCTGGGCCGCGCACATGCCGCCGGCCATGATTTGCACCCCCCCTTTTGGACACCCCCCTCTTGGCCGCTCCCGAGTAGAGGGAGGGTTATCCCCAGGCGGGGCTGAGGAAGGGGCCCAGCTGGATGCTCCCGTGCAACGCGTGTCCTTCTTCCAGAGGCCGTTTGGAGCGGTTCTCTTGCCAAACCCACCTTGGCCCCAACCCCACCCTTGTGCCCCCCCGGGAGATACCGAGACCGCCGCTCTTCGGTGAGACTCTTGGCCACCACGGCCGAATTCTGGTCTGGACGCGCATCAGGAGGGGACCGTGGAGTAGCGGTATCGGTAACTACCTGGTTGCCCCCCCCCACGGTCTGTCGGCGCCTTCGCCGACGCCAGCGGCAGCGACGGTGCCGACGGCTTCGCCGGAGTCAACGACACCGATGGCAGCTTCGACGCTGGCTGCGGCTACGGCAATGGCGACGTCGACGGTGTCCGCACACCAAACCGCCCCAACCCAACCCGAAGGCCTCCATTTGCCCTCCATTTCGGGTGGGGGGGGGTCGGGACACAATGAAAAAACACATGTGGAACCCGTACCCCCCCCCCAACCCGAAATTGGAGTCTTCGGGTTGGGTTGGGGTGTAGGTAGTCAGGCTGCGGCTACGGTGATGGCGGCGTCGACGGCGTCCGCCCACACCAGGGGCAGCGGCGGTGTCGGCGGCGGCGGCGGCGCCGACGGCCGAGACGGCAGCGGCGGCGGCGGCGGCGCCGCGGCACTCCCCGTGCGAGGTCCTCGCCGCTGCGATGGGCTCCGAGTGGGGCGATGAGCAGGTCGCCGAGGCGGTGGCCCTCTTCGAGGGCGGCGACTTCCAAGGTGCTCGGGGGCGGCAAAGAGGGGGGTGATGACAAGGGGGGGGTGGATATCATGGCGGGGGCCATGATGTTTCCCCAGATGTCATGTCGCGCCTCCTCTTATTTCATTGCGTCCCTGCTCCCCCCCCCGCTGGGCCGTGCACATTTTGCCGGTCATGATTTGCACGCCCCCCCCTCTTGGCCGCTCCCGAGGTGCGCGTGCCCTCGCGAACGAGGCGGCCTGCTCCCTGGGCATGGCGCAGGGCGCGGAGGGCGACGGCCCCGACGACAAGCTCCGGGAGCCCGACGAGCCCGCCGCGGCCACGGTCCACGAGTGGCGGGTGGCCCTCGACGAGCTGGCGGGCGTCTACGACGACGCAGGCGATCTCAGATTTCCTCCGTCGCTGATTCTCGCAGGTGTTCGTCGCTCCTTCGGGGTTTTCGGCTGCGCCTCGCCGAGCGCGCTCCGAGGATGGCCGGATCGTGCCGCACGTCGGTTCGAGGCCCGTGGCATGGCCCGAGAGCCAACCTCCTCGAGCCGCGGACACACCAATGTTGGTGGGCTTGCTTTCCACCACCACCACCAGAAGTAGGATGGGGGAGGGGGTCCTCCTCCTGCTCCTCCTCCTCCTCCTCCATTTCCTCCATCTCCTCCTCCTCCTCCTCCTCCTCCTCCTCCTCCTCCTGCTCCTCCTGCTCCTCCTGCTCCTCCTGCTCCTCCTCAACCCCCTCCTCCTCCTCCTCCTCCTCCTCCTCCTCCTCCTCCTCCTCCTCCTCCTCCTCCTCCTCCTCCTCCCCCATCCAACTTCTGGTTGTGGAGGTGGAAAACAAGCCCATCAGCCACTACGCAGGCGACACGGACAGGGCGGAAGCCCTGTACCTGCGCATCTTGGCCTGGCGCGAGGGCGTGGACCAGTACCGCGAGGGCAACTTCGGCGTGGCCGAGCACCTGTTCCAGAAGAGTCCCCACTATCGGTCCGTGGAGGATGCCACCTGGTTCCTGCAGGGCCTGCGGCCGGAGGACGGCCACGCGGTGGCGGAGGTCGTGGGGCTGCTGGCGCTCGGCGAGGAGGTGGCGGCCAAGGCCGCCGTCGGCGTCTGGACGCTCGCGCTGAAGAAGGAGAACCGCGAGCGCATCGCGCGCAGCGGCGGCCTGGAGCTGCTGACCAAGGCTCAGAGGAAGAAGCGGTACCGGTGCCGCTACGCGTGCCTCATCGTCGCCTTCCTGGGCCTCGAGGGAGGCCCTCGTCGCCACGGCTGGATCCGCCTCGCGATTCCAGCCAGAGCGCACCCTCTGGTGGAGGTTCCTTGCGCAGTGGCATCGGCGCCCCCTGCCATCCCCACAGGCGATGCAGTACCACCTCGACAGCGCGGAGCTGCAGGCCGCCGGCTGTGGGGCGCTGCGGCTGCTGTCGGGTGGGCACTCCCTCGCGGCCGCCTGCCGCGAGGCCATCGCCGAGCGGCTAGGCGGCGTCGCCCTGCTGCTCGCAGCCTTGGCGAGGCACCCGCTGGACGCCGAGGTCCAGCGCGAGGGCATGGGCGCGCTCCAGGCGGTCGCCGCCAAGAGCCCAGAGGCCGCCCTGAGCATCGTGGAGTCCGACGGCATCGGCCTGGCTCTGCGCGCCGTCGCGGAGTACCCGGACGAGGGCGTGGGCGACGCCGCTTGCAAGCTGATTGCGGCATTGCGGCGCGCCGCGGAGGCAGAGGCTCGGAGGAGGAACATAAAGACGTGCGTATGCCGGCACCCAGGAGGAGGAGGAGGAGGAGAAGGAGCAGGAGCAGGAGCAGGAGGAGCAGGAGGAGCAGGAGGAGGAGGATGAGGACGAGGATGTGGAGGAGGAGGAGGAGGAGGAGGACGAGGAGGATGAGGAGGAGGAGGAGGAGGAGGGGGAGGAGGAGGAGGAGGTGAACGACGAGGAGAAAGAAGAGGCGGAGGAGGAAGAGGAGGAGGAGGAGGAGGAGGAGGAGGAGGACGACGAGAAGCACCCAGACCGAAGTCCGCCTGCGAGAACTGAACGTCCCGCGCTCGCCCATGGGCGCCGCGCCTGGCCGCGCGCGCGTTATCGGGGGGCGAGCCTCAGTGCGCCAGTCGCGATCGGTGGCAAGCGTGTCACGGGAACGTAAACATACATGAAAAGGTTATCATCCACATGCAGGTGGGCATCTGGATGCGTTTGCTTTGAATTACCTCCCCACCTCGGTGTAAACCCACCCGCAAGTATACCGAGACCATACAGCGCGTAGAGGAGCACGAACAGATGCAGCTCTCAAGAGAACGGGCCACCTCGTCCGACATGGGCTGCAAACGCACCTTGACCACGTCTTGATCATCGCTACGACCACCTTCGTGGTTACCTTCGCTACAGGACGTGACCTGTTGCCGCAGTGTGCATCCCTGAGGCGAGCTGCGTAACAGGCAGCCCAAGTGCGATACTGCATTGGACAGGCCTGACGGCCGGTGCCGCCGACCCTGATCGAAAGGGCTAGGAGTGGTGGGAGGAAGCGGAGGATGAGGAGGAGGAGGAGGAGGAGGAGGAGGAGGAGGAGGAGAAGGAGGAGGAGCAGGAGGAGGAGGAGGAGGAAGTGCATCCTTTGTGTGCCCGCTCGAAGAAAGTGCGCCCCGGGAGTGTGATATTCTGACTTGGGACGTGCTCCCGGAAGAGTAAGAAATGCATCTCGGGCGAGCCCGCTCGAGGAAAATGCGCCTAGGGGGGTGGTATTTTGACTCGGGGCCCGCTCCCGGGACGCCTCTGCGGGAGGAGGAGGAGGAGGAGGAGGAAGAGGAGGAGGAGGAGGAGGAGGAGGAGGAAAAGGAGGAGAGGAGCAGGAGGAGGAGGAGGAAAAGGAGGAGGAGGAGGACCAGGAGGAGGAGGAAGTGCATCCCGTGCGTGCCCGCTCGAGGAAAATGTGCCCCGGCGGGCGTCGTATCTGCCCTGGCCCCCCCCCCCTCCCCCCCCCTGCGGGGAAGGGATCAAAGGGAAAGGGCTTCCCTTCGACTCCACCACGACGTCGTTTAATTTCGCTTCGGATAGCGCGCTTGAGGAGGAGATCCCTGGGAGGGGGAGAGCGGGGACGACGGAGACGACGAGTCGAACGGAGAAGCCCCTCACACACGCCGACAGGGTCGGCGGATTTCACAACATGTGGCCGGAAGGCGAGCACCATCACTACTACGACACCAGTTGCGCCAACCAAACCGACGCCAGGAACGACGCGAACAAGCAGCCCGAAAAGGGTTACTAAGTACGTCGTCGTGAAGGCAGGTACGGGTGAACAACGGCAGGTCCGCCTACAACGGACACGACGAAAGTGCGCCAGTGGATCTCCCTGAATACACTAAAAGGGGGGGGGGGTGTCCAGAACCCCCCCCCGTCCCCCCTTCAATTGGGGGGGGGTCCGGACCCCCCCCCCCCCTCTCCCCCCTTTAAGCGGGGGAGGGGGGTCCCGAACCCCCCCCCCGCCCCCTCCCTTGAAGGGGGGGGGGTCCAGAACCCGCTCCCTCCCCCCCTTGGCGCTGGAAAGGGGGGGGGGGGGTCGGACCCTCGCCCCCTCGTGTAGGGAGTAGGGAGTGGTGAGTAGTGAGTAGTGAGTAAGTGCGGAGTGAGTAGTGAGTATTGGGTAGTGAGTACTGGGTAGTGAGTGGCGAGTAGGGAGTAGGGAGTAGGGAGTGGGGAGTAGTGAGTCGTGAATAGTGAGTAGTGTGCACTGATAAGTGAGTAGTGAGCGGCGAGTAGTGAGTAGTGAGTAAAAAGTAGGGAGTAGCGAGTAGTGGGTACTGAGTAGGGAGTAGGGAGTAATGAGTAGTGGGTAGTGAGTAGTGGTAGTGAGTAGTGGGTAATGAGTAGTGAGTGGCGAGTAGTGATTAGTGAGTAGCGCGTAGTGAGTAGTGAGTAGCGAGTAGTGAGTAGCAAGTAGTGAGTAATGAGTCGTGAGTAGTGAGTACTGAGTAGTACGTAGTGCGTAGAGAGTAGTGAGTAGTGAGTAGTGATGAATAGAGAGTAGTGGTTAGTGGCAGTGGATAGTGAGTGAGTAGTGAGTCGCCAGTAGGGAGTAGCGAGTTGGGAGAAGTGAGGAGCGAGTAGGCCGTAGTGGGTAGTGAGTAGAGTGGTCAGTAGCGGATAGTGATTAGTGAGTAACGAGTAGGGAGTAGCGAGTAGTGAGTAGGGAGTAGGGAGTAGAGAATAGTGAGCAGTGGGTAGTAAGAAGTGGGTAGCGAATAGTGGGTAGTGAATAGCGGTTGGTAAGTAGTGGGTAGTGAGTAGTGACTCGTGACTAGTGACTAGTGAGTTGTGGCTAGTGACTAGAGACTATGTAGTGACTAGTGAGTAGGGAATAGTAAGTAGTGAGCTGTGGATGGTGAGTAGCGGACAGTGGGTAGTGAGTATTGAGTAGCGAGTATGGGAGTAGCGAGTAGTGAGTACTGAGTACCGTGTAGTCAGTATTGTGCAGGGAATAGGGAAAAGCGAGTAGCGAGTAGTGGGTGGTGAGTAGTGATTTGTGGGCAATGAGTAGTTAGTAGTGAATAGTGAGTAGTGGATAGTGGGTAGTGGGTAATGAGTAGTGATTAGTGAATAGTGAGTAGGGAGTAATGACTAGTGCTTAGTGAGTAGTGAGTATTGAGTAGTGAGGAGTGAGTAGTGAGTAGTGAGTAGGGGGGAGGGAGTAGTGAGTAGTGAGTAGGGAGTAGTGAGTAGGGAGTAGTGGGTGGTGGGTAGTGAGTAGTGGATCGTGAGTAGTGAGTCGTGTGTAGTGAGTAGGGGGTAGTGAGGGGTGAGTAGCGAATGGCGGGTAGTCAGTAGTGGGTTGTGATTAATGAGTAGTGAGTACTCTTTGGGGCTGGGGTTAGTGGTTGGGGTTCGGATTTGGGATTTGGGTTAGGGCGAGGACGAGGGGTAGAGTCAGGGGGCGGCGTGGCGAAAGGGGGGGAGGGGGGGGGGTCGGACCCCCCCCCCTTTTTTGAAAGGGGGTGCGGGGGGGGGGTCCCCGAAGACGGGTCGGGGAAAGGGGGGGACGGGGGGAGGGGGGGGGCCCCGACGACGCATCGGGGAAAGGGGGGAAGGGGGGGGCGTCCCCGACGACGGATCGGGGAAGGGAGGGGGGGGGGTCGTAACCCCCCTCCCCATTCCCCCCCCCACCTTTGGGGAGATCCAGCGGCGCACCCTCGGATACGACCACGGCCGCGCCGCCAAGAGCGTGTGCGACCACGACCGTGTTCTTTTTGATAACGAAATGCAGTCCTACGCCCCCCCTTGGACCACGACAGGCCGCAGCGTTAGGACAGCCGCCAGGATCACAAGGACACCCAGGGCGAACAGCACTGCGACGTGGCAGCCTGCGACTTTGTGCCGGACCTCGGGTACTACGAGAGCGTGCTCTCTGAGATACAACAGCCTCCAACAGAGCAGCCAGGGCTACCGGACGACCGACGGGAACCACAGTAGACTACGAGGGCCGCGCGCACACGTACGAGAGCCACCAAACGAGCTTCAAGACCAACCTGCCGAGGTACGGGAGCCACCAGCCAATCCACGAGAGCCACAACCTGTGGTACGAGGACCACAATCTGAGCTACGAAGACCACAGGCACAGCTACGGGAACGACCAGAATAGCTTCAAGACCCACCTGCCGCGCTGCAAAGGCCACCAGCAGGGCCACGAGAGCCACAAACTGAAACACGAAGACCGTGAGCTTAGCTACGGAAGCCGCGAGCAAGACTTCGGAGACTACTAGCTGAACCACGACGACCGCCTGCGACGCTACGAGGGCCACCAGCTGAGGTGCCGGAGGCACCAGCTGTGCTACAAGGGCCACGGGCACAGCTACGAGAGCGATGAAGGCCACCCGTTGAGCTACCAGGGTCACAACCAGGACTACGCGGAGTATTGGAAGACCAACCTGGGCCTCACACGGAAAGACTACTACGGCGACGAGCTGAAAAAGGCAGGGACAATAAGCATAATCCCGGGACCAACCAGTTGTTCTACAAGGGTTGTTCTACTACCAGGACCACAACCCGAGCCACGCAGGCCACAAGCAGGACAGTGAAAGCTGCCCGCAGAGCTACGAGGGCGACGAGCTTACCTGCAAGGGACACGTGCTGAGCAAGGACAGCAACCAGCTGAGCTACGAGGACCACGTGGTGAGCTACTGGGACCACGCGCTGATCTACGAGGGCCAAGGCAGGGCTTCGAGAACCACGGGCACGGTCCCGCGGAGTTCCAGCTGAACTACAACAAATACAAAGGCCACCACCTGGGCCACCTTTAGACCTGCGTGGGCGACCAGATGAACTAGCAGGAGCGACGACCCGAACTGCAGGCCCCAGCAGCAGACTTCCGAGAGCTATCAGCCCATCTACAAGGGACAAGGGCCTTCTGCAGAGGTCCGAGGGCCGCAATTTACGCGGGCCACAGGCCGAACAGCGAGAGCCCCTCGCAGAGCTACGAGGGCGACTAGCTGAGCTGCAAGGGCGACGAGGGCCACTACCTGAGCTACGAGAGCCACCAGCAAAACTAGCTGGTGTAGAATTATATGCCGAAGTACCTGACTCCACAGGACTACGACATGGGGCGCCAGCCCGAATTAACAGGGTTTGTGACCAGAGGCGCCACGCTGGCCTCGAGGGCACTCGAGGTGGAGGTGGGGGGGGGGGGGGGAGGATGATGAGGAGGAAAGCGAGGGGCGCCCAAACCGAAGTCCGCCTGC